ACTTGTACCGTGAAATCATCTTTCTAACTCAAGGAGAATAAACTTTTTCAATATCAAAATATGTGAACGTGTGTGTGTAATCGTCGAATAACGAGTTGTCGTGAGGAAGCCTGAAAAAACAACGTCAGGAAACTTATTTTCGAAATAATGTTGGGCTGGCAACACTGTATACCGGATATGACGTTATCTACTAGAGCCAAGGGACACATGGTCGTATGGAGCAGCGGTCACTTGGATTTCGGCTGCGTTCTCGGACGGTGATATAGCCACTAGTGCTGCTTGTCGTTAATAGTTGTTAATATTCAAGTTCAGTAATAGTTAAAATATTAGAATGAAGGTAAAAACGTTAGGACTCTTATATCAGACGTGGGATTCAATACGAAAACTCGCATTTGGCTGTTCAAACGATCGGTGACATATTTTCTCCTTGTATACCTACCCTCGTAAAATAAAACAGTGTGCTTTATACTTACTATACGTAATGGTGATAAAATCTTTTAGTTAAATATAACGAAAGTTTTGGTGAGTACCTTCCAGTTAATTAATTACTTAACATATTTGAGAAAATGTTAAATAGCGATACACAACTGGTTTACCCGGTTAAGCTATTGAGCATTTTAGTAGTTGGAAAATTTAAGGCATGAACGTGGCGATATGCATCCCAGTTGTGAGGGATAAGCCACAGGGCAAGGTGTTCTGAACGTGGCGATATACATCCCAGTTGTGAGGGATAAGCCATAGGGTAAGTGTTTTTAACGTGGCGATATGCATCCCAGTTGAGGGAGATAAGCCGCAGGGTAAGGTGTTAATTTTATGAGGGTTACTTATACCAGACTACAACGCCATTCGAGGACGAAGGCGTGATGCAAGACGGCCGAATGTTGGCGCTGGCAACACTATACCGGATATGACGTTATCTACTCGAGCCAAGGGACACATGGTCGTATGGAGCAGCGGTCACTTGGATTTCGGCTGCGTTCTCGGACGGTGATATAGCCACTAGTGCTGCTTGTCGTTAATAGTTGTTAATATTCAAGTTCAGTAATAGTTAAAATATTAGAATGAAGGTAAAAACGTTAGAACTATAATAATAACAAAAAAAAATTCGAAGATATGTGAAGTCCGCCAATCCAAAGAGTACTTTTATATATCTGATGCGCCAATCCGCAGTGGGGCCGCGTGGTGGACTATGCCCTGATACCCACTGTACAGAGGAGGCCTTTGCCGGCAGCGGGACATGTATAGGCCGTTACTTTACTTTTTACCTCATAATTTGCCATTAATTCCAACTAGATACCTCCTGCTGTTGACTGAAAGGTTTTGCTGACGTATAAACAGACAATTAGAGGTCTGTTCTACCCGCCCGCGTTAGGGAACCCTAAAAAACAACACACAAACACAACAGCACACTAAAACAGTTCGGAACAGGTGCAGTCTATTACAAAACGTTCTTTTGGCGTTCCGGCGTAAAGTTAGATGAAAACAAACTTCTGTGTTATCCTGTAGACGATAGTAAATTTTGCTCGGAAACAATAAACAACTCGTTGATTTCTTTTTCGGGATTTTATAGTGGCCGGTTTGTTTATGGACGGGTGGCTGAAAAAATAAGCTTATCGTTGCCCTTAGGCGATGCATTAAAGAATATAATCTGGTTTGTAACGTTCGTAACTGTCCATGGATTATTAATACAATTCTCTCTCTATCTAGTTTTGCATCGCTATCTCGCAACTTTATTACCTACTAGCTGCTGCCCGCGACTACGTCTGCGTAGAATAGGCTGAAGGCGTAACGTTCAAACAGAAAGAAAGATATACATAAAATATGTACCTATATAAATTATAGTCTGTCTTATTCTGATGTATAAAGCTATATTATTGTAAAATTTCATTAAAATCCATTCAGTAGTATTTGCGTGAGAGTAACAAACATGCAAACTTTCGCCTTTATAATGTTAGTAAGGATATCCGGTACCCTAAGGTGGCCAGGAAGAAATAGCTATCTTAGCAATAAGGCCGCCTGTATGTACGCTATGTTTCCTGTATTTTCTTTCTCTGTATTTTCTCCCGTGCAATAAAGTATTTTCTATTCTATTCTACAATTCTATAACATATAACGTGCCGTGTTAACTCATTGTCCGGGCTTACTTTTAATCCATACTAAATATTATAAATGCGAAAGTAACTCTGTCTGTCTGTCGCGCTTTCACGCCAAAACTACTGAACCGATTTAAATGAAATTTGGTACACAGATAGTCTAGAGCCTGAGAAAGGGTTATAAAGGGTTCATAAAGGGGATAGATATTTATTTAAGGGCCTCAACGCGAGCGAAGCCGCTGGCGAAAGGCTAGTTCAATAAACTCGAGCGACCTCAGTACAAATCCCGGTGTCAGCACCAATGAAATTGTTAATTTTAAAGTGCTGACTTATCACGTGCTCAGCGGCGAAGGAAAATATCTTCAGGAAACCTGCATATTTTCGAAATAAAAACAGATGATAAACAACGTTTCGAAGATATGTGATGTCCACCCATTCGCATTGGGGTCGCGTGGTGGACTATGCCTTAATAACATCTGTATAGACGAGGCCTTTGCCCAGCAGTGGGAATTGTATAAGCTGTTACTTGCACCATACAACCTTCTACTAGAAGAATTTTAAATAGTTTCCGTTTCATCGAACTTGGTGAGTCCTATTAAATATCTGTGGATTGAATGTATGTAAACAGGTTTTGAATAAAGGTAAGGCTTTAATATTTCCCACATTTGGCATAACAAACGAAAAAAGCTTTTCTCACTCCAACTTTTCTCTTTTTATTTCGTCTTTTCTTTTCAATGCTCGTTTGCCGCTTTTTTCCCCATAAAATAAATGTTTCAGTAATGTACAACTTTTTATTTCTCATTCTTTTGTTATATATTTTTATTACAATTTTAACATTATTGTTAGGAAAAATATTAAAAACTATATGCGATTTTTCATAGCAATTGGATGACCGGCAATTTTTATTCTACATAATAGGCCAATTTTTTCGCGGTAATCTTTTTATCGGGAGCACTTGGGCCTTTTTGGTCGATACGAAGATATTATGATGGTTTCGACAATGCTTTTTTTGTTTCAATTAGGCAGCTCTGGAAAAGTCGCTGCATTTCCGTGCCTAAGATGCTTTGACAATAACGGATAGTAAATCCTGTTTATAATGTTTGCAACATAGGCAACATAGGTAGAAAAATGACTCCGTGGCGCATTTGTCAAGGTTTGGCTTCGGCGTTGAGGGTCGTGGGTTCGATTCCCACACGGGACTATTTGTGCGATCCACAGATAGTTGTTTCGCATCTGTTGTGTTTCTCCGCGTGATATTTATGTTTGTAAAATGTCCTTACAACACAGGATAATGTTATCCTAAAGTAAGGGCAACGTTTAAAAAAAAAAATATGTCCTTAGGAGTCAGTCAGAACATCTGAAAATTTGGCAGCATCAACATACCATTGCAACACACTGCGAATCGAACCCGCGACCGGCAATACTGAAGTGAATGAAAGTAGTAAAGAACGTTTGTGTGTTAAAGGCTATTATAATATTAATGGTTATTTTAATGATAACATACTCTGGTAATGAATTGATCGCTGCAGGCTCTTTCAATCGGAATTTTGATATTGTATTTAAAACATGTAGAAAAAGTACGAAAAGATTGTCGCCTCTGTGGGAATCGAACCCACATTCGCGGCCTGACGCTCTAGCCACTAAGCTAAACGGCTGATAGCCCCAGCGACGAAAATCTTAACGCCTTCTTTCCACATTGTTATTTAGCATTTGAAGCATTGATTCTACATGTTTTAATGTTCAATCTTAAGTGCAGAGATTAGCACTATAAAAAACTTTAAAATTGATATTGTATTTTTAATATATTCATGTCACACCGTGTATGTCAAGAAATGAAAAAAAAAACCCGCTTAGTTTCTTTCGCCGGTTCTTCTCATTCTCTTCGGTGGCTTTCTTTTCCGAACCAGTGGTAGTATTTTGACTATCAATAAGCGAGTGTAATATATGTAAATATTGAATAAAGATAGTTACACGATCTGCACCCGTTCCTGGCCCTTTGTTCCTCAATAATGCTTAGTTAGCGCCCGCGGTTCCCACGCATCGTAACGCGAAGTGGAATGTTCCGACAATGACGAAAATGCAGAGGCAGCAGTTCCAGCCCTCGTTTCTTTTAGTATTAAGTTTAGTCGTAAGGGCAGTCTGTATTGAACATCCAATTCTATCACTCACTTGTAATTTTTAATTAACAATAAATATTAAAATCCGATTTAGTGTCTTTTTCAAAAAGCAAGTTGCGCCTTCCTCAAACTTGACTAGATATTTGATTTGATTTTAATTTATTTTTTTTATTTTAAATTATGTTCTCTCAGCACTTACCCGAGCACAAATATCGTCCGGATTATAAAAACTTAAGGCGCAAAACCCCTGAGCTAGAGTAATGTTACTGACGCATTTAATATAACTCGCGAAGAAAACTAGACGCAACACAAATAGCACCCGCAGGTATAGAGTCAACGATAATTTACCGCTAAATCTCTCTGAGCGATCACAGTTTGCTTTTTCAACGTCCATTTATTAGACAAAAAAACATCAAAAGGAAATTGCATCGAGGCATCAATCAATGTTATTCCGACAAGCGTTGAAACGGTGAACACCTATTCCGCCATGTTCCACAGACGCATTCGATTTCGTTGATACAACACCATCGATAAAATCTAAATATAAAACACTCTTGCAGTCCGTGCTTGAACATTTCCAGTTCTCTGGAGCCCGCCACGGAGCTTTGACAGGCGAATTTTCGCGCCAAACGTTTGACAGTTGACTTTTTTCGCCACGAATATACCTCGTAATAATACAGCAAGAATATCCGCTCTGAAATACTTAATTCTAAGAAGATTTTATAAAAAAAAATTTTCTACAAATTTTAATTTTATCAAGTTTTGTTTGTTACAATAGTTACAATTTAAAATGGCTCTTTCAAAAGCCAATGGACGAAAAATTTGTGTATTAACATTTTTGGTTTTTTTGTGGCTAAGTGAGGCTAAGGTATCAGAAAATAAGACCCATTCGGCCGAAGCGAAAACTTCATTTAAGGTAATAATAGTTACTGTTATTTTTTATTATTTCTTTGCATGGCTTCAATTTTGTTCTTCCAATTAAAACTTAATATTTTTGTGAATATATCCATAATGAAATGTAAAGAAAATATTATTAAAAATAATGGAGATAGTTATATCATTTTTTTGTGCAATTTTAAGATAAACCGTAGATTTTTTTAACAAGCATGTTATCATTATGTCCCATATTTATATGATTTTTTATGACTGTCAATATTAAACAAATGAATAATTATAAATTATATTTATAATTTTACGTAACTTGGTTTTTGCTATTATGAAAAGTATTTGAGTCATAATATAGAGGCGAAAATAAAAATAGTTTGTCATTTTGTTTACATTAAGATTAAACACCGTACCTCTGTAACAAAGTAGCAAAGAAACATGCGTGCTAGAATGGTAGACTGGAATGAAGACTTGATTTATAAAAGTTATTTGCATAATCTAATAAAAAATAAAGTTATTTGCAAATTGTACCCACAGTACTTTTCAAACATTATTTTAAAATTTTTTAATAAATTTTACGACGGAAAACGTAACGTGTATCACTCACAATTTAACTTTGGAAAATATTTTAAAATTGATTATGTAAAAAAAAAAGAAAAAAGTTGAGGAGAAAAATAAAATACATTTAACACATTTAATGCATTCCTTTATAAAATAATTCTGTGATATCGGAAAACGAAATAAACTATTGACGATAATATTACGCATTAAGTTTTATTTTATCGTGACCATTAAATATCTAAAAATATTAAAAAAAATTATTCGATGAAAATTATTGACAAAACATTTGCACTTAGAAATAAAAGTATGTCCCTACGTTACTCGTGGTGTAGGCTTTGTAAAACTTGGATTCTTACTCGAACCAAATTCAAAATAAACGATATTTATTATGCAATGCAAATAGTAAACTTACACGTAATCAATGGAGCATAGATGGCAATGTATTTAAATTAAAAAAAAAGAAGATTCTTTTTTTGAACGTGCGAAAGGTACTTACTAAAATCAGGAAAAGGAAAATGGTGGCTATATTAATAATCACGCCATATATTTTTGATGGGAAACGCAGCCAATTGCAACAAGTGTAACTGCGTTATATGACCAGCGTAACATCCTCGTCTACTTAGTCAGAGAGGTCAAGAATAAAAGTAAATGAAAATTAAATTAATAGCCTTTATACGCCCACACCTGGACAAAGACTGGTATTGGGGCATAGTCCACCCCACGCGACTCCACTGCGGATTGGCGGTCTTCACATATCTTCGAAATATTAATTTTTTGTTATTATTTAGAAAACATGCAGGTTTTCGTGATGTTTTCACGCACCGCTGAGCAAGTGATAAATCAACACTTAAAATTTACATTTTTCTTGGTGCCAGCAACGGGATCTGAACTCAGGTTGCTCGAGTATATTGAATTATAGGCGAGTGTCCGGACACTGAGCTATCACGGAGCACAGTGTACAGTGTGTAGTAAATACAACACTTTAAAGATAGTCCTCGCTTACGAGCATGGCAAAAGTCCACTCACGTCAGCGGTTCTCTCCACAACAAAGAAATAACCGAAGACCACGGGAGTTGCGGTATACCCAGCTACCATGACCCTCCTCTGTAATAAAGCACGCTATTTTATACGAAAAATTACTCGCAGGGCCTTAAGGAGTCCACATAGTAAAATTTCTGCGTACCAGCTCCAGAGGCAATTTTTTTTTATGGTGCGCACGTAATGTAAAGACTCTGGGCCGCAGAAATAACGGGACACAGAAATATCGCGATGTCTTCCAAAGTTATTTTAATGGAGCGCTCGTATAAATACTTATGTAGTATTTTATGAGTAGATTAGTAATCGTAAGGATTACATATATTATTATTATTATAGGATTATATATTATTATAAACGCGAAATTTTGTATGTATGGATGGATGTTTGTTACTCTTTCACGCGAATACTACCGAGTGGATTTTAATGAAACTTTACAATAATATAGTTTATACATCAGAATAAGACGTAAGCTATAATTTATTATATATTTTTATGTATATCTGTCTTTCTGTCTGAATGTTACGCCTTCAGCCTATTCTACGCAGACGTAGTCGCGGGCAGCAGCTAGTGCTTATTATAAATCAGAACAGAGGATTGATTTGTACAACTTACGGCCGATTTCAATATTCTATCTACAGGTTACCAGCGATATGTATTTGACATTTAGCTCCATAATACTTATATCAAAATTCTATCTCCCGTAACCAAATCTATCTCTAGATTTAATATTGAAACCTGGGACCGGTCGTTAGAGTTTAAAAGAATAAAGTTACGAATTTTGAAAAATAACAAAGTGGTAAACTGGACCACGAATAAATTTTTCGGTTTTGTTTTAAACCTTTCATTAATAACATTTTAACGGATTGCATACATATATTAATTTGTGAAGTATCATGTCGCTAACACCCGAAGAAAATGCACGCATTATTACTATGGAGACAAGATGGGGAAGTTAACGTGGTACTGCTGGAATAACAGGAATATCTACAGCCCAAACTGTACTAATCCAATGATTTGGAGAGACCAGTAAGAACATTAATAGACCAGGTAATGGCAGATCAAAGTAAACTATAGTATAAGATGAATTCGTGAACACTACGCTAAGGTATTCTGAACGTTCGAAATTAGTTTCTAGAAATTCAATACAACATTGTGAGCTTACCCGACTCTATGATGACGCTTACTTGCTCCAGTATATGGAATTAAAGGCGAGCGCCCGGACACTGAGCTATCACGGCTTTGTACATATCGCTTGTCATTTGTTCCAATTGTCTCCATTATATTGTGTGTGCAATAAAGGAAACATACAAACAAACAAACAACATCTATGGGATGAGGGTGATGAGACTAATTTCTTGGCCCTTTCCACTTACCTTACACGAGTTGAAGAATGCGTTAGTGGAAGAAAAAGACCTATCATATTAAAGAACTATCACGATTCTTGAAGTTATACTTCTTTTGGCGATTGGAAATAATTATAAGAGTAAAATTTATGCGCGCGAAAAAAGCGACATGAAGTCGGTTGCAACCGTTATCAACTGCATTTAATGTATTTTTCACAAAAAAAGTACTGGCAGATGGCATAAAATTTTCTTTTGTTACGCTAAACAAGTATAAATTGTTACGTGCGTACAAGTACACACGCGTTATATTAACGCCCCAGCGTATTTTGTTTACATAATCTGTGACAATTGGGAAATCGAAGTCCAGGCTATAATAAGGTTCGCCGAAATAACATTTATCATTTAAAAAGTGCGGCGCGGGAGGCCGTGCCGTGACGCACGTGCTCTTGGCAAATGTTATCGAGTGTTGCCAGCTACAATCGTAATTTCCCGACAATCGGCCGCGACAGGTGGCCCGTGTAAACGAGGCCGGATTTGACACATCCATAAAACCGATGTGATTTTTACGAGGGAGATTTAAAAAAAACGAATTGCATCAATTTGCAATAACAGTTTAGGATGTTTATCTGTTGTGGTTTGTACTAATTGACGGAAAAAATAAGAGAAAACGCCAACGAATGCGTAATGACAACTGTCTGACTGGACCAAAAAGAAATATAGAACTCTCATATTTGATAAGAGGTCTACAATAATCTCTTATCCTTTAAACGAGCAATTCTTGTATATATATATAATCGGAATCTCGGAAACGGCTCCAGCGATTTTCATGAAATTTAGTATGTGCGTAGATTCGGGGGCGAAAAATCGATCTAGCTAGGTTTCATTTTTAGAAAATGTCCTTTTATCCCTGTTTTCAGGGAATGAAAAATATTATTCGAATATGACGGTAAATTTCGAAAACTTTTATAATAGCTCGGTCGGTAATCGGGCGCGCCCGAAACAGAAGGCCGTGGTTCGTGACACGATCATTTACATACTTATTTTTTTTATTTTTTTTCGATTCCAGATCATTGCTTTCTTTATTTATTTATTTTTTGTCCATCCAGACGATTTTATTCCTTTTTCCCTTTTTTTTAAAGTTATTTCTTTTGTCAAAAAAAAAAAACAAACCGGTCCTCCAGGTACTGATATCTAAAAGTAACAAACCTTTGTGTGTCCCACTCCTGGGCCAACACCTCCTCTGCACAGAGTATATTAGGGCACAGTTCACCACGCAACCCCACTGTGGATTGGCGGACTTCACGTATCTTCGAAATATTTTTTTATTAATTGCGGCCTCACAGAAGACCGGCGTGAAGTGGAAATATGATACTTACTCGTTTTTTGTTGTTAACTGAATAACTTTAGGCGACACGATAGGAAGGAATAAGGCTAAAATTACGCATTATTTCTCCCTATCGTGTTTACTGTTAATAGCTATGAAATAATTGTATATTGTAAACAAATGGTGCGACTTTCGCCACTCGAAAGCCTCATCAACTTCTTCTAAATGCTCGCGTGTATAAACAAGTCGTACTAATTCCGCCGTACGATTCTCGTAAGAATTACGTCTTATCTTAACTGTGTCGGTTAACACAGTTAAAAATGTCATTCATTCAAATTTACAACTACAAAAACACGAATTCGCCCAACGATTAAGAAATAAACATAAAATAATCTTACCAAGAGTAAGAACTACTTACGGAAGGAAAACTGTACTGTGTACTGAAATTTGTGGGAGTACAGCTTTACAATAACTAACCTAATGAATTAAAAGAGTGTGAGAAAATAAATATTTATAAAGTGAAACTTAAGAACTACTTGCAAGAAAGCTCCAGTACATAGACCATTTATATACATACATATATATTCTTTTTCTTTCTTTCTTTTCTTCTTTATTTTTTGTTGTTTTGTAATGTACCTAATTTATAAAATTATATTGTACTAATTTAATGTGACCTCACCCTTAACGCAACTTGTTTATTGATATTTTATACTTTCATCTACCCCCAAAGTAATATTACTTCTTTTGTCTTCCACAATGCTAAAG